GTGACGCTGTATACCTGGAAACAGTCTAGGTAGGGCGTTATAAAGGCTCAAAGATTGTACCGTGTGAATCCCAGACGAGTTTCAGCGGCATTGGAGAGGCTGCACCGATTACAAGGGGATCCATGTTGGAAGTTCAAACATTTTGTCATGGCCCATAGCGGCCCATAGCCATTTTGTACGGTTCTGACTTGATGTAATCAGCTCTTTGCGCAATTGCAATGAGTGAGATCTCGTCCGATAACCCTTCATGTTGTTTCCGTCATGGTAATCTCGTCCACCTTCAATTTCCCTAATTTTGAGGAGCCTTGTTTTTCTCGGAATCAGCGAATTTTCTCGCTCTCTTCACTACCAATGAATAATACCCACCTTAAACTTCTTTTCGACTCAAAAGGGGTACCTTGACATTATCGTGGACTGAGCCTTTAGCTTTGCTTATTTTCGAGTGATTGAACTTAGGCAAGCATAATTTGAGCAATGTTGGGGCTACGGGAACCTCTCTGGAGAGGATCATATCCACCGGTATCCCTTCTGGGATATCATGGATCACGGAGAAGTCAAGCGGTGCAGGCGGGGACTCGAGGGAGCAGGTGGCAGGGAGCGGCAGTATACAGAAAAACGAAATTCCATAAGGTAATGCACTTGCAGGTGTTGTCATTGCACCTGTACATGAGTTCTTTCCTAAATAGCACCAACCTCCCAGGAAAGAAGGAGCTAATAACGTTTTGCATCTCAAAAGCTAGAAAAATCCAAGTCAATTAGACCCACCCATGGTGGTTGCAGTTCCAGCTGCCATAATCCCTAGAATCAACCCATTACAATCTAATTTCTGGAATCTTTTAGGGAACTCTAAGGAGAATCTCTCGCACATATGGGAAAAGAATGTTTTTGAGTCAGAATATCAATAAATTCGAAGAAAAACATAAGTGCTTGCATTACTGGATACTGAAGTTCCGGAAATTGTGGTGTATTTCACTCCCACTGCTCTGCTATGGCCATCTCCATCCCATCCCACCCAGCGGCTAGATGAGACTGACTGGCTGTCGATAAGTGCGTAGTGAAATCCCAGCAGTAGTATTAAAATGGCTTCCTTTTTTGTTAATTAGCTCTATTATGCTGTTCTAAGAGATCTAAAGGAAAATGTCGTTCTCTCTAATGTCACCTTTCAAAAATCTTTGATTTTCTGCGAAATTTTCATGCGACTTGCCAGTTTTTTTTTCAATAAGCCTTCATTTAGTAAAATTCATCCTGCTTAACGAGCTTATTCGAGCGTAGGTGTAGTCCGTCGTCGTTGTTCCCATTTTTCTCTCACGATTAGTCATCTCGTACTCGTCCTAATACCTCATTTGGACTCGACCAAGATTTTCTTTTTGTACTTTGAAAATCCCTTTCAGGCGGTAATGCTCTCACTTCGATCACTTGCAACAATCTTTTTCGTGCTCGTCGTTGTAGCTTCTTCTCAAAGGGATCACCTTAGCTATTATTCACAACCTGATTTAAGGTAACAAGATTCATTGACTCTTTTTTTTTCTTAAGAAGATTAACGTATTTCGGAAATTAATGGTATCACTTTGTATCCGGCTGAAAAAAACACTTTGCCACATTTAACCGGAATTCGAACCGAGATCCGTAGCCTTTGAGCAATGCCTTTTAGTGTAGCTCCACAGGGACCCGTTGCTTTTTAACCCTAGGTACTAAATGGGTCATGGGCTAAAATAAAGCTAGAGGGTTAGATTATAAGCCTTTGCCGTTTCACTCTGAAAAATGACTCTACATTTTGATGTCAAAAGAGCGATTTCAGGAAGGTTTCCCATCACATAGATTCCGCCCTTTCCGCATATCACGGAAAATGGCCAACTATTGCTGAAAAAGGTCGCTCTTCTATAAGAAGCTACCTATGGCGTCAAATGCCGAGATCAAAACCAAGTCAGACAGTAACAATAAGTTCAGTACCAATGTTTCTTGGGAGTAGTGAATAGAAAAAAAATCGTAGATACTACACAAAAAGGACTTCTAAATAATTTATTAGAGCAAAAGAGTTTCTTCCAACATTCTTCTTCCAACAAGTTCGAAAGAAGTTACAGGGAAGGTTTTCATGGCAGAATGAAGACCGACCCCGGCCTCTCGAGCCATAGCCGTAGCAAAAATTGTGCTGCATTTATTTACTTTTCTTTTTTGTTAAATTCTTTTTTCTCTGATACAATTATCACAATTGTGCTGATATATGGGCAAAAGGTCTACCCTGAATGGGGAACGAACCCGTACCTGTGCTTTTCGAACACCTGCTCTCACTCACAAGGCTACGAGGTCTAACACAGGGAGGCGTCGGTCCCGTAAATTTGTTCCCAGAATCGTTTAGCAGATTTGGAACACAGATTTGAGATCAGCGTTCGAAACCACCTGCGGAGGTATACATCTAATCTTGAATTTCCACTGCGACGAAGTATTCTTACCTAGTCAGACGTACTCCTGGTCGAAGTGTTGCAAGCAAAATTTGAGCCAATGGGGGCATTTTGTTGAAGTGTCAATGTGGTTTTCAAACTTTCGGGTCATATCGAATGCAGAGAAGGGAAAAACACGGCATTCCTTTAATTTTTTCCGGATTCTATTATGATATCATTATCACAATGGTAATTGGCTAACTGGGCAAAAGTCCAACCTCGGATGGGACACGAACCCGTACTTGTACGTTAAGCAGACCAACACATTTTTGGGTACCAACCTTACCATTGATGATAATCACCCTTTCACAACTTCTTAGTGCTATTCCATTGACTGACTGGATATCAATGGTTACCCGGGCATATAGTAGAATGAGTCTGTCAGCCGCAATCTTTATTGAAATGTAAAACTGTAAGATTTGATAGTTATGAATGGATAAAAAACATCCAAAAAACAGAGTGTATTTCAGATCCTCGTCGGAATACTCGAAAAGGCGAGCGGCTCTAAGGAATTGTTTCCTCTCACCAATGCAATGTCTATTACCCGTTGATAATCTACGTTTCAACAAATTCCACAAACGCTTCTTCTTCGCAAAGTAATTTCCTAGAAAACTGAGAATTATGGAATGATTAATCATTTAATTATTCCAAAAATTCATTTTGTGTATACGTTGAACTGATGAACTGACGTTTTAGACGTTTGCCATAATGTTCATGTGATAACTATTGAACGCTAGCTTTAACATGGTGAAGAAAAGCCTCTAATAAAGCTTCTGAATGTTGTTTGAAAATATCTATTTCTTTCAGAAAAAGATGAATCCAGCCAGAGTTCCCAGTAATAGTTTCATTTTTTCAATAATTGGCAGAGGTTCACTAAGTCTCTGCAGTGTAGAGGAAGATAGGGACAGTTTTTCTGGGCTCAATTTCTCAGAACTTTATTAAGTTTTTTATTTACTGCAGCTAAACTGCAGTAATGATTGGTTCCTGAGAAGATAAACATTTGAAGTTGAGCAATAACCGATACCAAAAACAATTATATCTTTATCTGGGCAGACGTCGCCCATGGGGAATCCCACGTGTCTGAACTTTTGAGTCGATATGGAAAAAAAAACTTGTACTTCTATCCGTTACACACCATACTCAAATATCTTATTAATGTGAGAAACAGTTGAGTTCTCACCCGAGCGTACCTCCCACATAATTATTGTAAATCTTCACCCATCCATGAATAAGTCTCATAGTAACACGGAACTTATTGTATACCTCGCTTTTTTTCGAAATTGTCTCAGAGAATGCGGGCACTGAGATCCATTCTACCAGCGATTAATTCACTGAATCCATTTTCCTCCTTTTTCTTAAATTTTTTTTTATTTTTTAGTAATTTTTTCCATATTTATGACGTAGGCGTAGGTGGTATAGGGGCAAGTCGCGCACTATCACCCACGCAAGATCACAGGTGCGAATCTCGCATCGATATCCACCTAGGCCAACCAAGCCTTTCGTCCCTGTAGGTCTGGTAATTGGTACCGTGCCCGTCAGGGAAGAAAAAGGCACAGAAAAGCACAATCGTTGGCCGTTCTTAAGTCATTGTGGGGTCCCACAAGCATTCGGATCTCCATTGTGATTCTGAAAGGAAGTCTAATGTGTAGCGCATCCCTGGAGCAAGACAAAGGGCTTCGTCCTTTCATTTCTAGCGAATACCGAGTTTGGTAAGTTCCATGAGCTCGTACTGTATGAAGACGGTCATGTTGCAGGTACACTCAGATATTTGTAAATTCACAAAGATGATGTATAGGATCCTTTCGTTTAGGTAGATATTGATTACTGGATATAATAAATAAATGAAGTCACAACTAATGATTTTTGAGTTACAAACTTGGCCGGATTTATACCAGAGCTGCCTATCTGCGCTATATTGATTCATAGAATTCGTTCGGTTCCAGATTAATGTGATGTCACAGCAGCCGCTCCATGCTGAAATCTTGGATGCTTTCCTAACCATTAGCGCCCTGCCATTTCATGCTTCCGGCTTNCGGCTTAGGCATATGTTTTTATGCTAATAATTCCCCTCTTTATTCTGAAATTTGATGGGCACACTCTGCTGGGAAATGGAGCAGGCTAATGCCCTTTTTTGGTGGAAGACCTTTCACCAATTTCGCCATAATGGATGTTAGCCTGGGTTCCTTTCAGGTTTGAGAAAGCGCTGTGTGTTCTATATGACCCACATACTTTTTTTCGCTCACATTGTTGTGAAAATGAGTAAATGAACAAACAGACAAAGCGTAAACAGTCAAATAAATAGGTCATTGAAGCAAAGCCGAGCTTTGGTTCACCAAAATAAACTTTTTCAATGATACTTATGGAAAATGTCGTCGCAAAATCTGCTGTACGATCATGCTTACCCAACTACCCATGATGTCAAGAACAGCCAAAGCCAATTATCTAGAGTGGGCATTACGGCAACACAACATGATTTCGTTTGCACATTTATTAGGGAACAAATAAATATTTATTTTATTAGGAAACAGTTTTGTCATGGAAAAGATGGTTCAACACAATTTCTTAATAGCCGGGAGCAGTACGAGGAGGTGGACAATGGTCGCAACCTCCTTTTCGTCCTCCCTCACCATC